TCTTTTTTTAATAAAAAGCCCTACACTTATTTCACGCTTTAGGCTATACATTTTCACACTATTAAACTTAGTTGGTAAATAAATTGGATAAAAATCCTAATGTGGGAAAGAGACAGAAGCATTATTGCCATAGTTAGGTAATTGGTATTTTGACATTAGCAATTAAGAATTCTATAAATCCAAACAATAAAGTAATGTTTTTACAGTTGCATGCGGATGAAGCCGCACGGGAACAGCTAGTCTTTTATATTCTTTTGGCAGTTGTAAGCTAGGATCGAAGTTTTTATATTCTATGGGTTGCGTGTTTATCACGGATGGATTGAATCATCAGAGTTGGATCACAAACTGATCGAATGAGGATAATGTGTTCAAGGAGTCATAAAATTGATTTAGTATTCATCGGCCGTGTCTAACTCGCGGAGTTTTACATCGAATGTTTGACGTTTGCCTTCCTAAAATGGCGACATTTTATTTCTTTTTTCTATCATTTAACTATCTTTCATTCATGATCGGAATAAATATTACGTTTTGTTGAACTTCTTATTATGGAATCAGAGATAGCTTAGGAGTTTGTGGTTAGATTTATTAAAAAGCCATTGTTGTAAAGTTTCTGCAAGTAGTAGAAGAATGACGACAAGTGTGCCTATTGGTATTTTGCTCTGCATCGAATCGATATTAAAAAAAAAATATTTTCTCTTACAAACAAATTTTATAATTTCTTCGATCTTAACTCGATTGTTTGCATTAAACAAAGATAATAAATTAGGAAATTAACAAAGACGTTTGCTAAATTTTGCCAAAATTCTACTGTCAATTTAATTAATTCCATATTATGATTCCGGTCACGTTCCCCTCACAATAACAGTTGACACCTCCGCGTATGAATATTCAGATACCAAGTCATTGACGTCCAAAGATCGCGTGATCCTTCAAACACTTCCCTTTGAAGTCCTTTATAATTCTATTTTCATTACGTTTCACTTAATTGCTTAAATTTTATTGTGATATAGCACGTAAATATTGGGTTAATTATTGAAATCCTAGCGGTACAATATTGAATATAAACATTATTAAATTCGTGACCATCGATCCTGTTGTGTTCACAAACCAAAAAAGCGAATACTGAGGTTAAAAAAAATAATTAAGCAAAGTCTGCACAATTTAATTTAATTCGTTACGACAAAGAACAGTTAGGTATCGTAAATTCTTTTCAATGAGAAAATGTTGCAGCGAAAGCGGATTGAAAATAATAGACTTAGGTACGCTAAAGGGAACTAAAACGCTAAATTCACCTGAATCGCACAAAGGGATTACTTAATTGTAGGGATCCTTAAGCTTAAAACTACGTTAGGATAAAGTAAATTTACTTTATTTGTACTGAGATTTTAAGACGTCGTTTGCTCGTCTTTATGGTCAGAGTGGTGACGTCACGGATGCATTTTCTTTTACACGAGTCGAGTATATCCGAACGGGTATTATCTAACATCCGATAGCGCGAGTTCAAGGTTGTGCTGAAAGCTCGGCGTCGCATCCCGGCGCGGCGCGACGCGCCCTGCGCTTTTATCAATACCCGCGCACCGCAGCGCCGCCACACGGGCGACGCCAGTAACTCCCCAGCGAGCAGTGCGCACGCTCCGTACTCCCCGACTTGCCGCATTTCTTTCGCCTATAATTCCATCAACCCCAAATCAATCCCGTCAAAATATTGCAATATTTTAACCATCTCGGCCTAATGAATCCGCTTCCGCCATCGCCCGCCGTGCACCGACCCCGCTACCTAACCTAACGAACGGATTACGTCAATACGCGTCGACTCTCGTGTGCAAGTCTAATCGCTCGGACTGTCAATGTTTACGTTTCTGCACGAAAACATTTTCCACCTGAAAAAGTGCCATATTGATCACAACTTCACGGAGTATTCAGGTTAGTATTTTAAACGTAATGTTTCATATAGTAATGTAATTGCATGCGGAGTAGTTGTTTATGTGCTATGTGAGTTATGTAGGCGCTTCGAATGTTACTTTCGCTAGACACCGCGCTCAGGAATGAGGTTACTCTCTAAATAAACTGCGATTTTTACCGCGCAGTTTCAGCTTCACGACTTGGTAACAGACATTTAGGTCTTCTTTTCACGTAATTATATACTAAGGTATTTGTCAAATAAACTAAGCATAGAAAATAGAGCTTCTAGACAAATAGTTTGGATTCCAATAGTAAACATAGCAGAGTTCGATTTGTATTGCGTGCACTTAGTGTGCCAGTGTTTACCATCCTTTGTGCCCCGATAAAAGTGGCGTCGCTTAGCATGTACGTAATTCTTTTGTATACACCCTGCATTCAACATCGTGAGAATGTGTGCCAAGTTCAGGGTCAGTGCAACGATTGTGCCCCACCGGTGTGTGCACAATTCATTATTTCCTATGTGCAAACAACCTGGGTCGCTCTATAGAACCGGTCTTATGTTAAATGAACCGCGAACAACTACCGATATAACAAGCATTTCGCTATTCACCGAATTGTAATTGCACTTTGAAAAGATCGGTCTAGTTGTTAAAAGAGGTCTAGTTTTGTTTTTTATTATTTTTTTTCGCTAGCGACCGGCTGCGATGTATGTGAAAGTGGTTTCGAGTTGTCGTCTAGGTTGACGACAAAAGAAATTATTAACTATTCGACATCATTGTGTGACCATTTCCATATATTTATATTTTTAAATTATTTTGTTATTTATTTCCTTATTAACTTAGTAGGACTGATGACTTAGATATGGTTGGTCCCTCCCTTTAAGAGCCACGTCAACCAGTAAACAAACATTAGTTAAAATGTACATATCCTTGTACTTTAAAATTATGTTTATTGTGTCTCAATTTTTATCTACCGACCGTAACACTGAAGATATACTAAAAAGAAAATTGTCCTGCAAATAAAATTGCTACAACTAACATAAACAGCACTTTAAAGCGCTGCAATGAAATGCAGCTGTAGTACTAATAAACAAAGTTTCGCGCGTTGGGAATAATTTCCCCTTTGTTTTGTTTCAAACAGCTGAAACTATTTCGAGCTTTGTATGTTTTGTGTGGCGCTTACCGTGCCTTTGCTGTGGAAACTACTGCAACTATAGTCACGTTTCGTCCTTGTAAATTAAAAACAGTTTTTTTACAATGTTTTTAATGTATCATTCTCTAAATGGTAAAAGCATAACGTGGTGTATTATTTCGAATTCCATAGCTTTTACATAGATTATATGATAAAGGTTGATAGTCTATCATGAAATTAAAACAACTTTTTATTCAAGAATTATAGTTTATCCATACTTAATGTTATAAAGAGGGAAACTTTGTTTTATTGTAATGAATAGGCTCAAAACTACTAGACCGATTTTAAAAAATCTTTCACCGATAGTAAGGTAATTTATCTGTGAGTAACATAGGCTACATTTTTTCATTTCTTTTTTTTATTATTTTAATTTCACGCAGACGGAGTCGCGGGCTATAGCTAGTTTTGAATATTAAAATGGCAATCAATATATAAACTACAATAAGTAAATAGTTAGCGAATTTGGTTAGGTCCCTTTTTTATATTAGGACTCAAAGAATTGAAGTGTTTGGTCAGCTTGTACAATCGAGTACTAAAGAGTAATCATATTTTTATTTATCAAAGTAAAATGAAGAAAGTTGCGGAAATACGAGCTAGATATTTTTTTTTAGATTCCTGGCACACTAGTCAGTAGTTTTGGCTGTACAAATGTGACAAATTGAAATTACTGAATGTGCAAGTAAATTTGAAATCATAACATTAAGCTCGCAAAGCTGTCATCGCCTTAAATAGTCCTGCAAGGATGTAAGTACTCCATTTCTCACAATGTCTTAAAATAGACTAAAACTGTTGCAAGTACCTCGATACTAACGTCCGGTGAGCTAGGCCAACGTTATTTCATTGAGTAATGGTTATCTATACTAATATTTGAAGAAATATTTGTATTTTTGTATGGATTAGTTTCACGTAAAAATTACTGGGACAATTTGAATTCTTTCACCGATGAAAATCTATCAGTAAAGCTACATTTGACGTCTCTTAATTGATATTTTTTATTTCATTTTAATTTCACGCGGACGAAGTCGCGAGCGACAGCTATATAATTATGCTGTCCTTGTGGAGGATTTTTAACTGTAGAATTTGTGACAAGGAAACGAACATAAATTATAAATGGTAAAAGTAAATGCAAAAAAAAGCAAATGTAATTTATGACGTCACATGATATGACGTTACGTGACAAGTTGATAATACTTTGAATTAAATTGATTTCACTCTAGCAAAGTTACTTGAGTAATAGTTAAAATTTTTATAAGAAAAGAATATCCTAAGTCTGGAATTAGCTTGGAATTATAAAACAAATTACAGGAACAAATGTAAAAGGGCAAAAGTTTCAATACCGTTTTCGATAACTTTTTTAATCGTCACTTTTTCCTTATTACAATTTTCCATCGCGTAATTGATGAAAGAGCTTTATTTCGACATACATCGGAAAAGTTTGAAGGAAACTAAGGCTTCGTACCTTTGTTCTATATCAAAAGGTATGCGAACAAACACTTAGTGGCTCCGTACTTCGACCATGGAAAGTGATTTCAAACAGCCGAAAATACGCCCGTTTAGAAACGAGTATTAGTATGGCTTACGTCATGACCGTAAGTTATAAATGAAAAAATAATAAGTGTTCGATTATGTAATGTAAATAAGGTGCCGTACTCAGAATCGTTTATTACTAAGAGAGTTCCTTAACATTTTAGATGGAGAAAATGGAGAGCCTAACTTAGTAATCATTGAAGAGTTCTATATATGACAGTAAGACTTAAAATTATACTTGATGCATTTTTAAATATTTTACAAAGGTTCGAAATTTAAAAATAAATTAGGGCCTGTCCCACCACTGGCTAATACAGGCTCAGATAGTCTAAAAATGACGTCACTCCAGATTAAGGAACAAAATCCGATTATTCTGTCACATATTTTACATGTTCGATTGTTATCAGACAATTATTATTTGGTGGGACAGGCCCTTAATATAATAATTGTCCAAAGAACTTGTTCATCTATTCCACAGTGTAAAATATAAAAAATCTAACTATTCTTGTAGTCAATTAAAGCCTGTTTTCATTTTATTATATCTGAATAAACCCATAAAGTTTTTTCAGAGTCGCTACAGGGCGAACGCGGCTATTGTCAACAATTTGCCAATTTCGGAGGCAAATTCGTATAAATATAGAAGCGACGCCGACGGTAGCAAATTGTATTCGATCACAATGCGAAGCCCTACACAATGCTCGGAATTACCAATAACTTTGATTGAAATTCCTATTGACTTTCGAAGAAAAGCACGCAATCGAACGGTTCCAAGGAATATTGTGTTTAACTTGTTTGTTGGTTTATTAAACAATTTAGAGAATTAGAAAGTAACAGTTTAACAATGTGGGCGTTTCGGAGTTACTTGCCTTCGTAATTTAAACTGCGACACATCGTTAACAAATTGGTAACATTTTAAAATCTGTTTTTGTTAATCATAGTTCATACTAATATTATAAATGCGAATGTTTAGATGGATGGATGTTTGTTAGAGGTTGTAGCCTAAACGGATGAACGGATTTAGATGAAATTTGGTACAGATGTAGAGAATAGTCTGGAGCAGCACAGAGGCTACTCCATTTTGTTTTTTTAATATCTTGCGAACAGAGTCGCGGGCGAAAGCTAATGTTTGATATTTTACAAGTGAATTTGATGATAATTATCCGCGACTTTGAGTGTTCCAACATTTAATTGTTCATTTGTTTCGGACCCTTCTAAATACTGCTTGAATCTTTCCTGTTTTTAAATATCAATTGCAGATTAAGTATTATATCCAGATTAGTAATTATTTTACATATAATTTAAATACTCTAGTGAAGGACTCGGCCTCAATATTAAACCTAGGCATAAATCTATTCAACCCAGTGACAAACATCCTCCAATATAGTGACCGCCATCAATCTCTAGTAAATAACTTAATTGCTTTTCGTTGCTAGCCTGTTACACAACATACAAGGTCAGGTGGCCGAAGAAATATTGTCCACAGTTTAATTTACGATGTTGCCAACATCCGCAAAAAATAATTTGTCAATAAAATTACAAATTGGCTTCAAATAGAACTTATTATTTGATTAAAGTTTTAATTTGTTTAAAAAATATTCGACTTATTTTATGAATTTATTTATATTTAATACGAAATAGCTATCCGATCTATGTAAAGTAAAATTTTAGGATATCAAATTTATTATAGAAAATGGTAATTTTAGACCTTAATAAAATCGACGAGATCTAAAAAAACTTTATTAACATTGAAACGAGGTTAATATATCAAAAAAATATTAGTTACTCTTGAAATAAATGTTTTTAAGACCTGAATGTAGTCGTGAAGACATACTTTACGCGTCTGTTTCAACAAATTATAGTATTGTAATGTAAAACGTCAATTTTACGGAGACGTTTTATTTTTCGATCTGTTAGAATATGACTTAGGGTTGTCAGTCAACTAAAAATTTGTACAGCAATATTTTTTTATTTTTAAAGAGAATTATTGGTTAGTAGCGAGTAGCGATAGCAAATTATTATAGGATGATTTCGGTTCTGGTTGTGGGATCTAATTAAAAAATAATTTCTTGTTTTTAGTTTTTAGTAAGTCAGTAACTGTGGTTGTTACTATCAAGTTCTCTGCGACGATAGAGATGACATTTGTGACTTTTAAATGCTATTTAACTTTTCAGAAGTTATGGACTAAAATTTAAAACTAAATGACAAAGTAAAAGTTATTAATATATAAATTTTCCGCAAGCAAAAATCAAAATTGTGTAAAAAAAAAATTGACAACCCTAAATTAAGATAGAGTCGTCGACCCCGCCGCTAATTTATTCCTTTCAAATCCAACACCATACGAGACAATATAAATATCGAAACAAAAAGTTTCGAGGAAAAAAGACATTTAAGTGGTCGTCCTCTAACTCGGTCTCAAGGTTAAATTTTGTATGTTATTGATACTACTAAAAACAATGCGAGACTGTCGCTTGACCAGCTAAAGCCTGGCAAGCGAAGCGACGTGATTTCTCTCTCTAATTGTATATTTGACTTATATTTGTCCGGTTGGGTAAAAAGAAACAATTTGTTATACGTTCTAACCTTGCGTTGTTCGATGTACAAATATCGTCTCTTCCGACGAACGAATGTGTTTTTGTAAGATGTAATTAGTTTAACACGTCAGCGTTAGGGTTAAATGAAAAAAGACTACGACAAATACATAGATTATAAACTGTAGAATCGACTTAAAGAATGTTTTACTTGTAATACCTAACTTTTAAGATCAGAAGGGTGTGTCAACACTTTTTTATTGACGATTCTGGGCATGTCCTAAAAGCCTTTAACTTGTCCATCAGGTTTTTGGTCACTATTTTACCAACACTGCCGTTAATAACAAGATAACAACGCAAGCAGATAAAAGACTTTCGTTCGCGACTCCGTCCGCGTGGAATTAAAAAAAGTAGCCTATGTGTTCTTCCATATGCTCTATCATATGCAAAGTCATCGAGATCCGTTAAGCCGATTAGGCTACAAACTCTCAAACATCCATCCATCCATCTAAACTTTCGCATTTATAATAACTATTAGCCAAATTTTACAAATTCGAAAAAAGTGATCTTTTCAAATCTCTCATCCAATAAAAAAAACTTAACAACAAAAGAATTTCCCAATAAAAAGTATAACGGCTTGTCAGAGAAGGTTTTTGTCCAAAATCGTTCGTGAGGACCTCGTTCACGTCTTAATTCGATACGACATCGGCTCGCGATTGTCGATT